CCCCAAAACCCCAAAACCCCAAAACCCCTTATGCAGACATTTGATGATATTATGAGTAGTAAATGAAAATATTTAAATGAGGTGATTGAACGAAAGAACAATCATTTAAATAGTGTATTAAAACATAAATTAAGATTATGGTTACTAGTAATATATTAAATGTTTAACTACATTAAAAAGAGCAGTCTACAGTCCTTGCTCTAGAAACCAGAGCATAAGTACTTTGGAATTGATTTGCACTCTTGTTTAGAATTGATTAAACAAGAGTTTGACCTTAAATATCAGACTGACAGGATGAAGAATTACTTTGATAAAGGCACAGAGGAGTCTGTACTAAGTCATTTTAATCAAAAGATTATCAATTTTACAATAATAACTACTGTTCTTTCAGTTATTGGTATATTACTCTATGGATTGCAATCTTACAGTGTCATAGAGGGTTTTGTGATGCTAATATTATTAGTAGTTGCTCTTTTTAGTTACTCAATGATTTCCTTTTACAATAGCTCACTTGGCAATTCGTTGTTTTGTACATCAATCTCAATGCTTTTAATGACAATGCTAATATTTAATTGCTACAAGTCAACAATCATTATAATCCTTGTAATTACTGAAATCAACTAGATCTCGATAAAATGTGACTTTAAGATTAAGGCCCTTTCCTATTTGAGTATAATATTTGCCAATTACTACATTTAAAGCAGTATTTTCGAATGGTTTCTTTAAATTCAAATAGGAATAGGTGGATTTTTATCGCAAAAACAGAGAAAAATAGCTATTTGCAGTTTTTTTCAAATTATGTAGCAATATCAAGAGGATATTGACAATAATAACAACTATGTGGCTGGAATTGTTCATGATTTAAGAAATCCCTTAACTGTTATCTATAGTTGCACAGAATTACTTATGCAGATATTACCACCAGAAACAGTTAATGGAGAGGTATAGGAAGTTATTTAAGCTTGCAGCAAAAACTCTTAAAATCTTATCTCAATGGTCAATAATATTTTAGATTATGCTAAGCTTAAAGCAAAAAAATTGGAACTAGATCTTTAACCATTAAGCATAAAAGACTTACTTAACAACATTATCGATATGAATTAGGTCAAAGCAAAGCAAAAAAATCTAAAACTTGGATTATCCTTAGATGAAGAGTCATTCCCTGAATAGCTGTTCATAGATTAGAGCAGGATGACTCAAATTCTGGTTAATTTAGTTTCAAATGCCATAAAGTTCACAGATAAAGGTGGAGTTTAAGTTTAGGCAAACTGGTTTCCAGACGGACCATCTAGTGAAAATAACATCATTAAATCAGACTCTTAAATAGATAATAATTCTTCAAAAGAAAAAGATGGAAATATTGATTCGCCAGACACTGTCGGTGGTAGAATGAGGAAGAATTTTTAAAATAAGAGAAATTAGATTTAGTCTTTAGACTAAAAACACAATGGCGGCATTAATTTTAACTTCTTCGAAGATGATAACGTAACTGATAAGTAGTAAAATTAATTTCAATTTACTCCTGAGTTGAATGGGGATGACAGAGCTGTTAATAGATCATTTATGCATTCTTACATGCAGTCTCAATTAAATCAAGGCTCTGTCTAGAATCAAATAGAGTCTGAAGGTGATCTTGCCATTATCGATTCTTAGATGTCTATAAACGAAGAGGAAATAAATGATAGCTTGCCAATGGTATTTTTTACCTAAGAACATAAATAGAACGCAAGTGGAATGGCATTTTAATAGGCTTTAAAGTTACGCAGCAGAGAATTATCCCATGAAAACACTTAGACAGATCATTAATTAGTTGAAAATTCAGGTTCATTTGGCAAAGATATGTAACTTCTTTAAAAAGATATCACTATTTCTATGATAGGCTCATAAATTTCATAAGGCTTGAATTTGAATTTCAATTCTGGAATAATGAGAAGTGAAAATACAAGGAGTATTGATCAAAAAATTTAAAGTGATCCACATTTTAGAAGAAGCTCATAGAGAGTAGAGGGAGATAATACAAGTATGAAGTTCAGAAATCTTATTTAGCTTACTTCAGCTAAATCCGTAGGATTACCAAAAGTAACAGAGGAAAGAAAAACTGAGTATGAAGATGAGAGCAAAGATTTTGAAAAGGATAAGTAATCAGAACTGGATAACTTCTTGCAAAATAAGAGTGGTTAAACATCCAAAAATCTTTCGGAAAATCAGTAGCCGACACCCAGATTAAATGAGGACTTGATTTAAGAGATAGCAAAACCCAATGAAAACACGAGAATTATAAGAGGAAAAACAAATAATGTTGGATTTGCTTCACTGCAACTAGATATGAGTGATTAATCAGCAACTCTATCACATACTCATTATCCTTAAATGAAAGAATCATCCCTATTCAGTTAAGAAAATTTGAAAAACAGAGGTTCGTCAATGCATATGCTTAGAAAAGAGTCTCAAAACAAATCAGTTTTAGCTCAAAAATAGATTTTCAAATCTAGAAGACTGTCAAAATCAACTTTTCTACCTGTACTAAATAATGCTCACAGAGAAACTTCGGGAACTCTTATGATTCAGGTAATAGATACTGGAATTGGCATCTCAAAAGAAAATCAAGATAAGCTATTTAAACCCTTTGGATAGGTATCTAAGCACATCCAAACGAAATTTGGAGGAACTGGATTGGGATTATGGATTTCGAAAATGATTTTAGAATTAATGAATGGAACTATAAATATACAGAGTGAGGAAGGATAAGGGACTAGATTCATAATAAAGCTCAAACTTAAAGTAGTTAAACTTGATATACCTTAAGAAATCAATAGCTTAAAGCGAGCTATAACTATTCAATCAAACTTTTTAAACAACTACGCATAGAATAGTACTAGCAATAATAATATGAGAAAAATCTTAGTTTTGAGTGATGTTTTCACAGTGAGATTGATTAGATCATTTGTTCAAAATTACAACTTTAGAGTCAGTCAAATACACAATCCAAGCCAATTACTTTAGTATATAGAGGTAAGATAAAAATTTTAAAATTTATAAATTAGGATAACTCAAAAAGATGTCTATTTTTTGACTATGAATATGCCGACCAAGTTCTAAAGCATGTAAAAAAGATGAAAAAGCCAAAAAACATAATGCTTATTGCACTAAAGTGTAAAATAGTAATTATACATCATCTGTTTAGAATAACTATAGCCGTGCAGAAAAGTCTCAAGGCATCATTTTATTGGCCTATAATCCATAAATATTGACATGACTCTAGATTATATGATTAGAAAGCCTATTTAATAATAGGAGTTTGCTGAAATATTTAGAAAGATCATGATTCAATTGCATTTATCAGAAAGTTTTGCCTCAACTTCTCTGGGTGATATTACTTTTACTAATGAGGCTATAGTATTAATGTAAAATCAAATCTCTAGAACTGCTAGTGCATTTATTAAAGATAACATGTCTAATCAGATATCACTTTTTAATAGAAACTCGGATCATTAACTTGAGAATAGCAGCTTGAGTCCTAGTTTAGTTAATTATGCTTCTTCAATATTTGCTAAAACTTTAATAAGAGGATCATCAAATTCAGAAGCCCCAGGTAGAAGTAAATTGCTTATTGTAGATGATTCAGAATTCATTTAAAAGCTGATGGTAATGTTAGTAGATAAGATACGATAAAGTATGATGGTTAACTTTGAAATAATATAAGCCAGTAACGGAGAAGAGGGATATAACAGATATGTAGAGTACTATAAAGATCTTAAATTGATCTTGATGGATATTCAGATGCCTATCCTCAATGGATATGAATGCACTAAAAAGATCAGAGATTTCGAATAACAACATAATCTTGAACCATGCTAGGTAGTTGGATTGTCAGGTGAATAGTCGGTTGAAAGCGAGAAAATGGTTAAGTTATGCCAAATGAGTGAATCCATTTTAAAACCTGTATCTAGAAATTAGATGTAGCAACTTCTTGGTATTTTTAATAATTGATAATCTTAATTTCATTCAATTATCTCATTATAACAATACACATAATTAAAGTTTGCTAGGGGTTTTGGGGTTTTGGGG